GGCTGGCTGGGGAATTCTGGGAGCTAAAGTCCACACATCTTAAAGTTGCCAAGGGTGAGAAACACTGATTTGGATCACTAAAATATTGGCCAGCTCTCAACAAGAGCTTGGAATCCAGGCTGCAGCACAAAGAGATCCCCTGTGCAGCTGGAACCCTGCAGAGAAGTCCCCAGAATCTCCCTGCGCAGTAAAGGGAAGAGAGGGAATATGCCAGAAGAGGCATCTCATTCTTGGCCAGCCCAACCAGCTTTGTAAACTTTCTGCAAAGACGTGCTGGATCGACTTGAGAAGCAGCTGATGATGCTGGCCGGCCATAGCCATCTGTACACATCTGGAGGGCATCAGCTTGGGGAACCTGTTGCGCATCAGGTGCTCCTGAACTATAAGCATGGCAGTCAGCAGAGCAGAGTCAAAGGCGAAGAAGGTTACTTCAACATCCAGAGGGCTGTAAGTTCCCTAGCTTGGTTTTATTGCAACGTCCAAATACCATCAATTACAATATGCTACTAATGGAATACATTAATGGACTTGTAAGGAGGGGAGTTGTTTTCCCCAAAAAGATATAAACAGCACATTTCTGGGGGGATGGAGGATCGCCTGAAGACTGTGTTTTCTTTACTTACGCAGCTTGTTCTGAATAGACGATGGTTTGCTCATAATGTAGGGCCCCCTTTTCTCTATTGGGGGCTCTCGGCACATCCTTCGTTTGTCCAGTTGCCCCTGTAAAAAGGAAAGGTAGGAGTGAGAAGTTGGATAGCAGCTGCATTGAACACTATCCACCTCAAAAGCAAATCACAAAAAGAGCAAAATTGGCAAGGTGGTTATTCTGGGGTTGCTGTTTACCCACAGTCTACAAAGAGCTCTGATTGGATTTAGTACTTTTGACCGCTGATTCCTTCCCAAGAATCTGGGATAGTTAAAGAAATTGTCGTCAGATGTGCCCTGTTCCAAGTAAAGAAACTTTTTGTAATTGATGAGTTGAGCTTCTCTTCATTCCCACTGTGTCTGAGTGCTTTTCCAGATCTTTCGGTATGGCACGAAGATTGTTATAATAATATTTTCTGCTGTTCGTTCTGCAAAATGTTCTATTGCTAGCCTCCCATAAGCAGTTTTATCTGTTGTTTCTATTGCAGAATAACAAGAAGACAGAATAAAGACAAGATGATAGTGCAACACCCTATGACTATACCCTGAAAATGGTGATTATAATAATGCCCAATTACAATCCTCTTTCATGATGGACCTGCAAGCCGTAGATAAACTTAAGAGACACAAGTGCAGGGCCTTGTCCAATCCTTTTAGATGTGCCAGCTGCAAATTTGCAGGGCCTTCTCTCCAAATTAATGGACATTCCCAGTCTTCCAACTTCCTCATCATAACCAGCCCATTTTTATCAATGACTCCATGATTTTTGCAGCGGCCCACGCGACTTCTTCCCTGCGTAACGCTCAACAAGCCTTGCTTTGTATTTTGTGCAAAGCAAACAAGCTAACTGTAAGAGCAGAGGATGCCCCCACTCTTTGGAATATTCTGCCCCCGTCACTCCTGGCCTTCTGGAGGGCTTTGAAGACCTGGTTCTGCCACTTGGCCTGGGGTGGGGAGGGAAGACATCAAGCATGGGGATGGCTAGCCCTATAGAGGCCTGCTGTCTTCAGCCCCAGATCCTTCATCTCCTTGGACTCTCTTCTTCCTTTTTAGTATTTTCTTTTAATTTTTATGTTTTATGTATTTATATGTATTTATGGTTTTAACGTTTTCTGTGAGCTGCCCAGAGTCCCCCATTGGGGGAGATGGGCGGGGGAGAAATTTAATAAATAAAATTAAATAAATAAATACAAGAACTGGAGTCGTGGAGGTTCAAGAGGAAGGATTCCGTGATTTCTGTTATCTTAGAGCAGTGTTTTTTCAAACTTGGCAACTTTAAGAGGGGTGGACTTCAACTCCCAGAATTCCCCAGCCAGCTGGCT